ATGACAGGAACGCCGCACTCTCCCACTTTCCGGTGATCAAAACTGTAGCAGCTGGAACCAATTTGCCTATGATACACGGTTGATAGCTTACAAATTAAATTAATTGATTGACGAGTCACTCTTGTCCAGCTACCGCGCTCCTGCAATCGATGTGACTACTGCAAGTCTGGCGACTAGTGTGAGTGATCTGCAAGCTAGTGCTCATAGGATACAAAAATACATCTTCATTGAATACCACGTCTGAGGCCATAATGTCATTCAATACAACTGTCGATATCGCTCACTTACCAGCAGTCCGATTCCCCAGCTCGGCATTGAGCTGTTTCCGGATGTCAGTTCACTGTATCGACAGTATCGCTTCGAACTAGTCAGCGTGGAGTTGAATCACGTCCCCGGTTCTCTGTTATTAAGACACTTGTCTACCGGGATCTTACTAATTGGCTCTGGAAACTATTCGTTGAACCCTCTCATCATCTCAGTCTGCCTTCTTACAATGTCAGATGTAGTTAGTCCAGAATGGATTTTCTGGCCACCTGTTGACGCTCGTGAACCAGGTGCTGGGGCTCAACATCTGTGCTACAGCGAGCTGTTGGAACACATACAATCCTCCAGCCGACCACACCTTCCGACGCTTCGATTTCGGTGAAGACGATGAATTCATAGTGAAATTAGATTAAGCAAACCGGATGTACGTTTCCAACACTTGCTTTCAGCATCCTGAAAACAGCTCCCGACATTGTACTCAGGTGACGGAAAAAGAACTCGCCAACTTGACTACATTCCGGTTCTTTGTGGTCCATCGTCCCTACCATCTTAGAAAGCAATAAACCACTGTCAGATACTGGTGCTTAGCCGCGGTTCTCGCTAGGTTCCCTCAGCGGAAGACCACACAGATCTTACCGGAGTTGTAGCAATAAGCATCAGGTCCATGCAAAATCCAAGCTGCCTCCAATATCTTACCTGAAGTAATTTCGTTCGGAGGAACTAAAAATTCGTCTATTCAGAAACTATCGTTGGACATGAGGCAATGGATTGATCACCAAACTAGTGAGCGATTCAGGAAACCAGCCTGAAGACGTCAACCTGTTGCTGTTTGGCTGCATGTATCGAGACATTCAAACGCCAATTTCGTCAAGTGGTGAGGCAGTAGATGAAGCAAAATGCAGTGCCTGGATTACTTTGTTTAGTTCTTTAGCAGAATTCCGCACGGAAACAGCCCTGTCGCTCGCGGTTAGTTGCTGCTATTGCCAAGAAGCACATCCCGCACGTGACTGGCCAGAAGATCAGGACGCTTGCCGGTCCAGCATCAACGCAAGCTCTGATTGGACGAAAACTGGACCCAATGGTCAATCATGATCCTGTACCCACCGAATGCCGGTCGCCAATGTCGCATTCACATGTCAGCTTCTAGAATGTTGCTGCCGCAAACACTGCGCAAGTGTTTTTGACCTGATTTTTGGCGTTAATACACGTTTCGCACCCTTGGTGATTGTTTTGACAGGAACGCTAGCTTGGGTGATTCAAACAGATAATTAAGCTGGGAAAGATACTATTATTACAACTGGCGACGGGGATGGGATCAAAATAATAATACTTTGTGCCATGGGACGGAAATCAGTCTTCGGTCTGTGAGCAGAGTCTGAAAAGCTGTCATTCACTCCCTCCGGTTGCGTGACCCCATCCAAAAGGATTAAAAATGTTCGACATCCAGGAGTGCTCAACCACTGGTGTTTGGGGATAATTTTCAAAACAGGAGCAGTAAAGTAGTCATGTTGTTCGTCAGTATCGCGTCACAATCGCACAACTCCTTTTGTACCCTTAGGAGTGCAGATCACTACAGTTCGTACACGTTTTTTTGCGAACCGGAAAACGGACTATGTTTCCTCTCGCCCATACGGGTTTGAAACTGTCACCCTGGAAGCTAGTCAAGAACTTGATACTATCACACTCAATGTTGATCTTTGGGAATTTCAAGCAGTTTATGTCTTGAAATAGGCTTATATCGGACCATGCACTGATCTTGTTGCAGTCCGCGACAGGCATGGAATAAGCTCGGTCTGCTGCAGCAATGACTTTTCATCAGTTTAAGTGTAACATCTTCCCATGCGACTTTGAACTATTTGCAACAATCGCGTTTCGTTCATCTTCTCTCTCTCTCTCTCCCTCTCTCGACTCATACAGAAAGATGACGTCTACCTAAATCTGGTGCTGGAATTCGTGCCAGAGACTGTTTACCGGGTTGCCCGACGCTACAGTCGACAAAAAGAAACAATCCCCATTCTTTTTGTTAAGGTAAGTCACTCAACAATGTTGTATAGACTTGGGTCTCCTTTCACCTGTGAGCCCACTTGACGTCTTGCACGTATCATGCAGGGTGACCGACAAGCATAACAATTTTTGTGGGCTGCATGTGAAGTCTTGTTTTTCGTGGGCTGAACAAAAATCAATCATGCGAGCGGACCTCTCTACCTTCCAAGCTACCACGTTTGGTGTGCCCCAAGTTTGCTGTTATCCATTTCGCGTTTGTTGAATTTCTCGGGGATTGGCACCCCGACTGGGTAATTATCTCGCGCGTTTGTGCCCTTGCTGCGGCCAAGTGGCACACCGCAACCCGTGACCAAGCGGTCGAAAAAATAATGACGTAATCGACTGGGTTAATGAGGTGGTGGCATGTGGTGTGATCGCTGCACGGCTTTCGTCAGTTCATATCTGAGTAGAAAGACGATAGGACACCCCCGTGCCATTCCCGGTGTGCACTCCATTGTGCGTGCGTATAGCCCAACGTGATTGGCAATCGACGTTTCCAGAACCAAGTACATTCGTACCGAAATATGCTTCTCGGTGTTTATAAGATCTCCCCAGCCGGTTTGCATACATCAGATTATGAAATGACGTCTACCTAAATCTGGTGCTGGAATTCGTACCAGAGACTGTTTACCGGGTTGCCCGACGCTACAGTCGACAAAAAGAAACAATCCCCATTCTTTTTGTTAAGGTAAGTCACTCAACAATGTTGTATAGACTTGGGTCTCCTTTCACTTGTGAGCCCACTTGACGTCTTGCACGTATCATGCAGGGTGACCGACAAGCATAACAATTTTTGTGGGCTGCATGTGAAGCCTTGTTTTTCGTGGGCTGAACAAAAATCAATCATGCGAGCGGACCTCTCTACCTTCCAAGCTACCACGTTTGGTGTGCCCCAAGTTTGCTGTTATCCATTTCGCGTTTGTTGAATTTCTCGGGGATTGGCACCCCGACTGGGTAATTATCTCGCGCGTTTGTGCCCTTGCTGCGGCCAAGTGGCACACCGCAACCCGTGACCAAGCGGTCGAAAAAATAATGACGTAATCGACTGGGTTAATGAGGTGGTGGCATGTGGTGTGATCGCTGCACGGCTTTCGTCAGTTCATATCTGAGTAGAAAGACGATAGGACACCCCCGTGCCATTCCCGGTGTGCACTCCATTGTGCGTGCGTATAGCCCAACGTGACTGGCAATCGACGTTTCCAGAACCAAGTACATTCGTACCGAAATATGCTTCTCGGTGTTTATAAGATCTCCCCAGCCGGTTTGCATACATCAGATTATGAAAAGACTTGGGAACGTTGTGCTGTTAGCCGACAACTGGGCAGCACACTTTAGCTATTCATAATTCACAACGTTACCACAGTATCCCCCTTTTATTCTCGTTCGACACGTTCGCCTGGGTTTTCATCTGGAAGGAATCACCTTCATTTTTTCGGAATATCTTTAGTCATTGATTGCAATTCTAGCAAGGACCCGGTCAGTACGCTCAATGAAACTGTGAGCGAAGCTCATCGCCAACAAAGATGACTGAAACCCATGAGAGAGCCTTGAATCATTTTGGATTCAGGAATAAGACGGAACATTTTTGCAACGATTTTACGCCGTGACCATCTGAAGCAGTAAATTCATTCGTCTCGTGTGCTCAAACTGGTAGTGGACACAACCATAAATTCCTGAGATTACTGCGTATGTACTTTAATCTCTTAAGATTGACCTATCCGAATAGTGTCCATTTCCAAGGAGTGCTTAGGTTTCCACTCGATTGGATAGATCACCGATAGATCACCGACCACCTTTAGTAGAGGTTTAATGATTTCGTCTTTCGGATCGATCCCACAAGGATAGGTTCATGCAAGGTTTCGGAACCACGTGACTTGTAGACTACAAGCCACTGCGTTAACGCGACCTGAATCGTTCCGGAACCTGTTCAACCTATCTGAACAGCATTATCAAATTCAAAGCCATATACTTGTTGAGCCCACCCTCTCCCCTCACATTGCACTAGACAACATCGAAATTAATGTCTTCTCTTCGTTGTTGGCTTTCGTCCTCATGTGATGGCCGTTTATGATGGAATCCTCATGCACCATTCAGGTTTTACTGAACAATGTCTCTAGTGCTAGTGTGGACATTGTATAAGCAGGTAATTCTCCAACTCAAAGGACGCAGGCGCCTCTTTTGTCTGGCATTCTAAGTGGTAGAATTCGATATTGGAATTGTAGGCCTGAAATTTTCTGGGGGTGGGGGCGGGGGTGTTTTTTAGGAGACGATGCAAGCTTGATTGAATGACTCCCCGTTATGTACAATCTGAATTGCGATTTCACTGATACTGATGACGAACGAACGTTAGATCTTCAAAACCCCGGTGTTGAAATTGAGATCAGGTGAGATCCTTGTTGCTCTGGAGTTTGCAGATGACGTCACCCTAATCTCTGAAGACCAAAGCGAAATACAAGCCCTGTTGAATAGACTGGCCACCTTCAAAGTTCAGAATGTGCACTCTCTAAATATACCACTTCTAGTTCAAGGGGAACCGCTGGGGCCTGAGAATTGTGTCTGTTGAACACCCTCATCCTGAAGACCAAAGCGAAATACAAGCCCTGTTGAATAGACTGGCCACCTTCAAAGTTCAGAATGTGCACTCTCTAAATATACCACTTCTAGTTCAAGGGGAACCGCTGGGGCCTGAGAATTGTGTCTGTTGAAGTCAGTGCACGGATCTCGAAAGCCAGGATCACGTTCGCTAATTTGTGTCACTCGTAGCTTCAAAAGGATTCTAGGCTATAGTAAGGGCTGTGTTATTGTATAGTTGCGAGACATGGTCTCTGTGGACAGAGGATGTGAGGCGTCTTCAGGTTTTTGGCCACCTATGCAGCCGAACCGCTACTGGTGTCTGATGGCGTCAACGGATTATTAACGAGTTAATTAGAGATCGTGTGTTTGGTGGTTTACCAGATACTTCAATCGCGAAAAACATCCAGTACCATCGACTGTGGTCATTTGCTACACATGCCGAAACACCGTCTACCGAGACGGGTGTTGTCCTCCGCGCCTCCTTCAGAATGGCATCAACCGTGAGGTGGACAACGCATGACTTGGCAGAAAGGCGTGAAAGAGACCACGAAGAGTTTGCGTGTTGTTGGAGTTGTACGCCTTGCAATATGTGGTCCCCGTGACCCTGCCTGCGCTTGGCTGGAGACATTGCAAGAAATGATGACTGATCGGTGTTAGTTGTTGTCAGTTTCTTTCCCCGTATGACACTGGGCCAAAACTCCAAACTATGCTGGGATGTCTGTAGAATCCCCTGTTTTATCGGGACCATTAAAAAAAACTGCTGAGACATTGAGCTTTTATTTACTGCCAATCGGATGCCCGTGTTCATTGCAGCAGCGGCGTGGTCGAACTCACTGCTTTTCCAGACACGCCACACGTTGGCCCAGTAATCCCTACTGAGCGCTACCAGGATCAAACAGCGATTTTCAATGTGACTGGTGAGTGGTACTCAGCGGCGTATTTTTACCGCCAAGTGTACAGCTGGACAACCTCTGAGCTATACCAACGTTGAGCTGCGCTTTCGCTGTGTAAATGAATTGCACAAATAGACCAGCTCGACCAGAATTTCATCATCACAACAGTCAATATCATTCACAATGTGCAAAAGTTGTCACTAGATTCACCGGGTTGGGAAGAAGAATGAGGAAAAGAATCGTTCAGCTGTAGCATCCTTTCGGTGCCTAGCTGCCATGCCACCCGGAGGAAGCACGAGGGCTGGGATACTGTCAGGTTGCCTAGACCTAGACAGGGGAAGTCGAGGCCGGGTTCGAACCACGGACCTCTCGGTCAGTAAATTCGCGCTCTAACCACTTAGGCCATCTCGCCCCCAACTGATTGTTCCAGGTTCATTCTCAATCACGAAGACCGGATTCCAGTCAGTCTACTACGGATGTTACTCTTATGAAGACCGGTTAGGCTTTAGAGAATATTCCTCGCAGAAAAGCGATTCCCACCGCCTGTGTCCGCCATTAGGGAACACCATGTGATCAACCTACACTGCATAACAGTAGGTACACAAGCACGCAGTCCTTGATTTTTTCTTCCCTTCCCCATTTATACCGCTCGTTGTCTTATAACTAAACCACGTTTGTAATGCGGTCCGTAGGCCCTTGTTTTCCCATTTATTTCGGCTTTCGTCTGGACTTTGTTTTTCGCACTCTTCGTTCGGTGAAGTGTTGGATTAGTTTGTCGTCCTTGAAAGGCACAGAGTCAAGTGGACGTTCCATTGGAACGTACAGCAGTACTGCTTCGCTTCGTTCTCCGGTGGAACGTTGACCCATTTTGTTTTCTTCAACACGTACGCTCTTACTGTTTGTTTCGAATTGATTTTTCATTGGCACGAAACTACTGAAGTTGCACTACGCCATCCAGGCACGAATGAGCCTAGTGCTTGAAATGAAAAACGAACCAGCTGGAGTCACGTGATGTCTGTAAATGTTCGATTCGTCTGCTGATATGGTCATCCAGGTATTCCCCCCCACTAACCTGGACACCTATCCCACCACGTGCCCCTCTTTCAGTGTGTTTTATATAACTGTGCTGTATTCGACCGTGTGTACCGGCTCGAAGAACAGTCTCCAAGGTCAGTTGTTTGTTAGGTATTGTCGTGATTGACATATGCTACACAACACTCCCGTTGACTAGTAAAAAGCCCAAGGAGAGGTGAGCGTTTTAGCCTCCCCTGGAAGTGGCTTTCTTTCTTTTTTGGGAATCACTGTATATTTGTCTGCGTACGGTGATTGAATTGCTTACACGAACCCAGGAGGTTGCAAGTGAAAGCATGGTTGGAAGTCTGCACCAGTCAGCACTGTCCTTAACTGATTTACTCTGACCTTTGTAGTTCTACCGGTTACCACTGCTTCTTGTATGCGTGCAGTTCTTTCCGTTTATTAGGTGATCGTTTTCTATGGGCACTCAATAAATATAACAAT